GGTTTGTACAAAAGGGTTTTTTTCATTACTGGTGTAGATTCTGCGTCATCAATTTCTATAATTGGATTTCACTATTTTAAATTTTAGATACCATCTTAAAGCAGTAAATGAGTGTACAATTACTCTCCTTGCTTGTAATCTTTCCATTCTCAAATTCCATTCCCAGAATACACCCTCTTTGCAGGATAAAGACTAATTGTACCACATCTCTAAAACCTTGTAGCTTCTTTCTGCCATGGAAATTCTGGTATCTTTCTCTTTGGGTAGTGACTGGGAATAGGACTGATAAAGAGAGAGAAGGGAGGCTGGAAAGGAAGATTGTAGAGTCGTGAAATTTCCTCTATCTTCCCCACTTCCAAGGTGGAGCATACTTGAAATTAGTACTTCCTCTTAACCATTTCGCTCACAGCAGTAGGCAGCTTTTATATCCCAGATATCTCCAATATCTTGCTCATTGGAGGGCACTGGTAACTGAGAATCCATAATAGCTGACTTCCTGAGATTGGGAGAGCAGGAAAACATGTCACTGGCAGGCAGCTGAGCAGCTCAAACCACATCAGCTTTGGTTTTGTGAGATGAAATGTATGCATTGCAAGGTTATTTAGTATGCTAGTTTACTGTCTCATTTTAAAAATATCTTTATATTTTAATTTTTATTGATTTTTGAAGTTTAAAAGCAGACCTTTCTTTAGATATGGATGTTTTTCTGAACATGTTTCCTGAAAGAAGAGGAAAATGTGTCACAAAATACAATCAGGGATCTAGTATTTAAAAGCAAGATGTACTCAGAGAACTATTTTTTGCTTGATTGACCAATTAAAATGGAAATAATGCTTAGCTAATAAGGATAAAAACCTTAAACTGTATTTAAAGTTTGCTCCAAGTACTTTGCTTATCCTTTAACAACGTATTCATGGTACTTTTTATTTGAGTACAGAGATGTCTTTTGGCACAGATCCGTGATCAAGATGATCTATTTTCCTCTTAATCAAACCAAAATAATCTTCCAGTGCTGTGTTAGGATCTGGCCTGTGGCATGAATGAGAAAGTGGTATAGCAAAATGTCACAATATTGATTGCAATTATTAACTTTAAGGAAGGGTCATATAAGATGTCTCAAGCTCTGAACTCAGCGCTGTGAACGGTTCCTGATGAGATTAGCGATAAAGATGTCAATGCAGCAAGAGCTCTGAGATGATGTAGTGTGCTTACAGGGCACTGTTCAACAAGTGGGTTTGGAAGTGGTCTGACAGTAACCATTGCATAGGGCTGGCAGTTCCTCTTTGGGTAGAATGCAGTTCAGAAGAATGGATGAGATTAATCAATTCTTTCACATCGTGGAGGTAAAGAGAGGATTGGCATTCAGTTTTGAGGAAGGTTCCATAAACTTGAAAGACAAATGCTTTTCATACACTTCATACTATGGCAGGAAAAGAAACTATTCTAGGAATATGAGGAGAACTAGAGCTTTAAGACCTGCAGAAAACTCATGTTGTGTGCATGATGATGTGTTTGTGATTGAGTTAATCTCAATTTAAAATGTTGAAGTAGTAAGAATTAAATTAAATATTCTTAAATATGAATGGTAAGGAAAAATGGCAATTATTACATTTAAAGAATTAGGAATATTTCTTAAGAATCCTGTGGTACTTTTAGAACACCTGAATTAACTGGTGTTAAAGTCTCTAGGACATGCAGCTAGGACTTGCTATCAGCCTTGGCAAATCTCAGTCAGACTGTACTTTCTGTAGCACAAACTGTCTTTAAAATTGATTAAGAACAGTCAAATAACTGAGGAACAATTTAAAAACACAGTGTTTATGAAGTTTGACAGTAAACAAGAGTTTCTTTCATGGCACCGTCCCGTTTAATTCCGTACGGAAGGAGGCTCTGCTAAGGCCGCTGCCGACAGACACGTGCTGGGCGCTGGTGCGCTGCAGAGCGGCGCTTCCAGCCGGATGCCGAGGAGCCGGGCGCTGCGGGCCGAGTCCGGCAGCGTGGGCTGAGCCGTGAGAGGGGGCGCAGAGGGTGGCGCTGAAAACGGGAGAGATCTGCTCGGAGTTCCGGTGTCGGTGCAACCCTGAGAAACTCGTCTGGTTTTGCTAATTCAGCTATGGACTTCGAAATATGTTTTTCAGAGCGTCTCTCTTGATAATTTCGAACAAACAGATAATCCCAACAATGCTGCAGAGAGTAAAATGATTTCAGTAGTTTCAATGTGGTATTTTTACTGACAGTTGGTAGAAGCAGCTTATTAAACTGCGTAAGCAATTGGCATGCAGTGCAAACTTCAGTTTTACTCTCTGAATCTTAAAAGCATTAGATGTTTCTTCCAATTTAATATCTGCATAATGGATATGGATGGCAGGATATGCTGCTGCCAGGCAGCTCTCAGCAGCCTCCAACAGGATAGCGTAGACTTGCAGAGCAACGGCGTTTTTCCACTCACGTTATCCATCTTGTGCCAAATATGCTGAGCGTCAGTTTTTGCACAAGGCACTAATACAAACTGTGCTTCGGTCCTGTTTTACCCATCTCTGCAGGCCGTGGATCAGGCCTGGGGGTGGAACAGGCAGTGTGTGAATGCCATGTGACTCACCTCGCTCCTGCTCCCCTGCTCTCCGTGCTGGCTCTTGTCCTGCTGTAGCAGTATGGCAGAGGAGTCCTCAGCCTGCCTCCCCCTCTCTCTAATATTTTTTTTTTTATCTTTTCACTAATGTTCCTCCCATTGTAAAGAACAAGATGGAAATTCGTTCTTGAGCCATTGCTGCTGATTTCCTCCAGTCAGGGAATCAGTAGAAGAGCATCATTATCCCTGAAATTTGTACATGCAGCTGTGGAAGACAAAAACTCCCTTCCTGTTCATGCTGGGTATGGTAATTCTTCAGCCTCCTGTGCAGGAGGAGTGTATGTTCAGTCCATTTTTTGGAAGATATTCTCTAAGTATGTTGCATTATTTCCTCTCCTACTTTGCTGCCTTCTCCTCTCCTCCCCCTTGGCTGTGTTTTCAGCTCTTGTGTCTGCTTGCTGATGCTGCACTTTGATTTGCATGTTAACATGGTTGATCTTTGCAGAAAGCAGTTTTAAATGATTGTTCAGTTATTATGTGTATGAGCAAGCTGATGGACACAGGACATTTAAAACTATGTGAAATATCTGAATTAGGGAAATGCCTTCTACACTTCTATTATTTTATCCTTGTTTCAGAAGGGAGCAAACAGTTTACAGCTTTTAGGCTTTGACAGGTTTTAGCACTTCACTGGATTCAGAGTAAAATAGTTCCATCAGACTGCTGTCCTTTACTAACTCCCCGAATTTTCAGCAAGGTTGGGCCTGTGTTTCTCTTGTCAGAGCTGAGCAGGCATCCTCAGCCAGGGCTGTGGGTTTTGTAGAAGTCAGGCACTCCTTCTGTACCTTCAAGTTGCTGAATTCAGTCTTGCTAAAAGGTCAATCATGTGAGCTCACACATTTCGACATTATGAAACAGGGATGTGGGGTTTGTTGCTTGTGAATTTTATTTGGCTTTTTAAAGTTCCAGTTTTCTGTCAATTTGGGAACTTGCCCTTTTTGTTATCTTCTTCTGGGCTAGAGGTACACACTCACTGCGTGAGGCATTGTGCTGTATTAGCTCATCATAAGCAAAACACTTAAAATCATAAGTATACTGTATATCCACAAAATGAAGAAAACAGATATTTTGTTAGCTCAGAATTTCATAACCATGTGTGAATGAAATTTGAGGAAAAATATTCTTCCAGTTGTAGTAAATAGCTGGATTTTTTTGTTTGGTGGTTTTTTTCATCTCTATGTTTAGTACTGTGTCTGAATACTAGTGCTACAAAACAAAACAAAAATTCAAAGCATTTGGTATTGTCAAAATGGTTGTGTTATTTTTAACTTTATTTCTCATGTAAGTGCAACTTCTTGGGGCAACCCACTGTCAGCACCTGGCTCTGGTAGAGGTTTCCTGACCATTCCTGTTTCCACAGAGCTTTCATGGTTCAGCCTGTCCCATGCCTGTTGACTTCATTGTCCTCTTCCAAAGAGTGCCTTGTTGGGTAATTTCTTGGAAGTGTGCATATGCTCTTGATCAAGGGGGCTTAGGTACACAGCTAAAGCTTTTTAAAGCTGTCCAAATTTGGGGGTGGTTAGAACATAGGTAAAAATGTCCATTTCTGGTCATGCCTGCAGAAGGTAAAAAGAAGTGTCACAGTGTTTTCACTGTTGTCTACACTAAAGTATAATATGAACATAAATTGTGAATACAATTATTATCCATGCAGATAACATGTATCTTATGCTGCAAGTCACCTGATCTGCTCTTAAATCCTCTTACTGTCAGAAAGGTGCTCAATGGCTCCTGGGAGAAGAAACCTCTTGTAAAATAATTTCAAACTTTAATGGAAGCTAAAATGGAAGCCCCTAAGCCGGAAGAAATAGATCTGTGGCATTTTCTTCCCCTGTAGGGAGTGCTTTCTGATTCTTTTTCAGGTGACAATAATATTGAACAGAAGGACCATGCATCCATGCCCTTCCTGATCCCCACTTTGCACTGACTGTCTCTCACTCAGTTTCAATGCCTGGTACAAAGTGACATGCCTATTGCCTTGAAGTCAGCCGGGAAGCTTCAACCCAAAGTTCTTTTTTGTCACTGTTTAGGAGTGTGTGTGTTTGAAGGTGTCAAAGCACGTGGAATCACATAAATACAGGTTTCTGAGATCTTGCAGTTGTTTGTGAATAGGCTGAATTTTGGTCAGTGGGTTTCTACAAAAACAGTGAAGTCACCTTGCTGGGCTGTAATACTCCTCTGTGGCCAATTTTAGACTGTGCCTGTTAGATAACGCCAATACTTAAAATTCCAAAAAAAGAAGTCCCACTAAGCTTCTGAGCAGTTCCTTATTTACACTAAATAAATGTATCTTTAGGGATTATTACTTTCTCTGGTACGTGCAGCTAAACAACTGTCATCATTTCTGTTTATGATTTTGTTTGTCTGGTAGAAAAGAGTGGTGGAGCAGCTTCGGAAGAATTTGATAGTGAAGCAGGAACAGCCAGACAGTAAATTTCAAATACAGCCATTGGCACAGTCAGAAAACAAACTACAGACACCACAGCCACAACCACTACAACAGCTACAGCAACATCACCATCAACAGCAGCAACAGTCCACGGCACCCTCTCCAAACGTGATAGGATCACAGGTAAAAAGCTACAATTCTTTTTCTTACTAAAGGTAAAGCTCACTGAAAATTAAAAAAAGGAAAAAGTGCAGAGAGAAAACTGCAAACTTTCACTTATGCCTGCTAGTGTGCCAAATGAATTTCTTCTTCTATGAATATGCAGATATGTGTCTTCGTTTTTTTGGCAAAAATCTAATCTGAGTTTAAAAAACAATTACTGTTTCAAAGTTGAATCATAACCCCACAGAAAACAAGGGTGGCAGTGTATGACCTTTCCTAAAAATAAGTGAAAGTTAAGAAAATGAGCCTGTCTTTTTCCTAGCTGCATGAATGAGTCTGACCATACCTAGTAGGTCTCCAGAAACAGTAAATACTAAACACACTCTGTATGAGGTATATGATTAAAACCCTTTATTTTTAAACGACTAACAAAATGCCCTCTACAAATGCGAACAAAATGCAAGAAAACAGTTCCTTCTTCTTTTTGCTTGGTTCTTTTTAAACAGATGTAGGTCATACCAAATAATACTTACCTGAATTTTCAAAGATTTGTCTAAAAGTATACAGTGTTAATTGTAGAGTTCAAGTTTTAGAAAATAGGGTCTTTATTGGGAAGATGAACTGAATTTTAGTACAGTATAGGATAGAGACATAATCCCAGAACTCAACAGAGAAAGTGGTTTGCTTAAGAGGGGAGTTTCAAGTTTCTCCTGTTCAGATATTTGAATTCACAAAAGTGTGCTAATAAAACAGCTAGAAAATGCAGGGAGGTGTTCTGTAAGAAGAAGTGTATATGAAGTCTTTTCTTCCTGTTGATGCAATCTTAGGAGCTCATGTTTACCTGGATAGGCAGATGACAGAATTCACCTATGAAGTTTGCTTTATGCACATTGCAGTGAATCACAACCACAGCTTTGACCAGTTGTGATTCTCATCTTCCCTTTTTCTGAAAGCAGAGGCGAGAGAAATGGTTGGACTGTTAGTTCTCTTGTTAACTCAGCAAGTTGGTTTGGATGCACTCTAAAATGCATTTGTGAAGCTTAGCTAATTGTAGTTTTGAGAAAAGTACATTGAAGAAATGAAGCAAACCTAACTAAGGAAAATACATTTTGAGCAGCAACATCAATATCAAAGCTGAAATGGAATAAAGAAGCAAATATTACTGTGTCCTAAAGTATTTATAGGTAAACAATGGATCACTGTTGTATCAGTGATCTCTGTTTCTCAGACAGGAAACATGAGAGCAGCAAGCACAGTTTCATGTGTTTCTCAGTATCTCTCACTTTGAATTCACTCATTAACTTCCAGGTCATCTCCTGGGTTGTAAAAACTGATGTTTTGTTCAAAGTTAAAGAGCCCTCTAGCGAAACAGTCAAAAAACTGCTACACTCTTCTGATTTTGTACTGTATTACATGGTACAGTGGTACTTGGAAAGTAGTTACAAATTGGAAGGCAGTTTGTCCTGTCTCTTGGATAAATAAGCCAGTTTTTATCTGTAACACTTTTCTGGTTTTATTTATATTGTTAAAATAGTGAAGCATCCTCACTTGTTTCTGCATCTAAGGTTTTGCCTCTGCCTTACTGTCTCTCAATCTCTTTCAGCAAAGAAAGGTCAAATACTTTGTCTCTCTGTGAACAGTTTGTTCATGCCTGCTTTTGTAAATAACACCTTTTTCTAGGCTGTGTCACTACAGAGAATGTTTTCAGAGATTGTTTTCAGAGCAATCAAATTTAGGAATCCAGGTATATATGCCATAATTAACAGTGACATTTTAATATACATGTGTCCAGTGAGAAGGTCTTTTAAAATTTTCATAAGTGAGAAGCCTGCTGAAAGGTCATATTATTGCAATATTATGTGCAATAATGCAGACTCACTATGAATGAGTTTTATTGAATATTAAGTTGAATATTAATTCAACTTCAGTATGAATTAATGCATTGAATACTTTTTAGAATAAGCAATCTAATTAATACTCAGCAAAGCAACAGGGATATTCAAGCTCTATGATCTTCTCACTGAAGCTGTACTCTGAGTACTTGTGGAGTTAGTAGAACCCCTTGGAAAAGTCACAGTCTTGCATTACATGATTGATTACACCTTTCTTTAAAACATTTATGGTCGAATGTAATGCTTGTGAAAATGATACCACGTTACATCTCATTGGGAAAGCTTGACTAATGTTACTGCATTATGGGAATGGAGCCTCTTGCTTTGGAGAAGGTGCAGCAGAGGTTCATAAGTTTGTTAGATCTCAGCTAAAAAGTTAAGAAAATAGTGTTTCAACAAGGACAATTTAATTATGTCTGGATTTTTCATAAATGTATAAAACTGAAGCATAAATTATCCTTTGATTTGGCATTATACAGTGAATTTTTTCACACTCGTGCATAATTAACAGTTAGTGGACATAGTTTAATTATTATGAAATTAGAAGTGTGAAGGTAAACTCTGTTTTTGTTTAAGGGAACAGTATTGGTGAAAATGCTGAAGCAGTCAACTGGAAATATATTATTTTATTAAAAAAAAGATAAAGGTCTTGTATGATTAAAGTCAAGTAGTCTAAATCAGGCATGTTCAGAACACAAAGACTGCCTGATCCCTGGTTTTCCATTTTTTCCTCTGTAGAACACAGAGCTGACATCAGGAGGGAATGGTGGCTATTTAGTACTAAGAGCATTTCATCATGTGACTAAAGCTTTGAAGATGCAGTGCTGTTGGTGCAATGGAGTTTTTACACCAAAGTGAAAAGAAATAAGATCATTTGCCATTCTGTCAAATGTCATCCGTCATGAGTTTTCTGTTTGCATTGTGTTCTGGTTTTATATGGAGACTCTCACCTTGTTGCTTTTTGAATGAGATTTGTAAAGTCCATTTGCCTCAGCATCTTGGAAAACAGTATATTTTAAAACTGTGAAATGATAGTTGCTTCAACTTAGGAATTTTGGGCATGATGTACTGAGGCATTTCAGATAAATGCTGGTGTTACATGATTCAAAACCACTCTTTTTAAAACAGCCCAAGAGTAATCATGGTGTCAAACACATATTCCAAAACTAGCCCATTCCACAGAAGTTAAACTTAATTGCCTGCAGCTGGGCAGACTAACAGCCAGCTCTTACAACTTCAGGACAATCCTACTGATGCGCTTAGGAAAGAAAGTTAAATACAAGGTAACTGTATGTATCACTAAAGCTGAGACTGGGATGCCCAAAATAAAAATTATATTTTTGTTTTTAAAAAAGCCAACTTATGAATGTTTCCCCCCCTCTTCCTCTGATTGTGAGGATCGCTGTAACTACAGTTTCCATTTGAAAATAGGAGTTTAACTCAGTGAGAAGCTAGTTTGCTGCAATGTTTCATAAACCTCCACCTTACATGTTTGATATTGACAGTGCATGTTTGGAAGTAATATGAAACTAAAAGATCCAAAATACATATGCCAGTGCTAACACTTAATTGTAATTTTCTCAGGAATTTGTTTTGATTCAATCTGCAATGCTGCAGGTGATTAAAACAGACCAAACAGGTGCCTCAGATGAGAATGCTTCTAGCTATCCAGTTTTCAGAGGCATAAGATAATGTGCTTGTCTGAACAGCAGGTAGATAGGCTCAGAGCTGCCTTTTCTTTCTCATGCTGTCTATTGTTTCTGACTAACCAACCCACGTCCTGTCTGATACAGAGTGTCTCTGTCTCTTACAGTGTATTTTCTGTTTCCCTTAGAAAACTGTAACTACAGCTTCTATGATCACCACTAAGACACTACCTCTCGTCTTGAAAGCAGCAACTGCGACTATGCCTGCCTCTGTTGTGGGTCAGAGACCTACCATTGCCATGGTTACTGCTATCAACAACAATCAGAAAGCAGTCCTCAGCACTGATGCGCAGAGTGCACCAGTCAACCTCCAGACAACAAATAAGGTCACTGGGCCAGGAGCTGAGGCAGTCCAAATAGTGACAAAAAACACAGTAACTTTGGTAAGCGTTTCATGTGTTTGCCCTGCAGATATGTGTGGGTTTGGTTAACAAGAGGGCTATTGGAAAAAAATAAACAGTCAGGGTTTCTCACAGAAAGGAGGATAGTAAAGACATGGTGTGAGTCTCCACTAGCTGACATTGCTAAAGTGAGAGTCTATAAGAAAAACATATTCTCTCCATGTGGGTTGTTATTACTGTTTCGCTTTATAGAATTAAATCAGTGCTGTCATCACCTCTGTGTAAAGTTTCCCCTGTTAGTAACCGTAGTCATGGAGCAGTAGTGATTGCTTTGCCCTTACTGAATCTGTATGGCTATGTTCTGCAGAATTCTTACTCTTTTCTTAGGCAAAGGAGATGTCAGACTTTATTCATTTGATCAGTTTGGGTCTTCGTCTTAGGGTTTTTTTGCATGATAAAGTCTCTGATGTTAGACACATCCCTTAAGTTTGCTCACTACCATGTCTTCATTCAGCACGTTTTCAAACACATAAACAGGTGCTGTTTCTTTAAAAACATGTATTTTGGAATACAGATTTTGTGCTTTAGCTACATCACAGAGTCTTTTCCAGAATAGTTAGCCACCTAGAAGTAAAAGAACCAGTGTTTCAGAACTGGATTATATAGGCTTCTTGGTCTGGAAACCAGGCATTATGTAACAACATGACAGGGAAATTTTACTTCTGAAGTAAAGGCTATGGCTTTATTAAATAAAATCCAATTTATCTCTATTTATTAAAATACAGTTTAATGCAGATGGAAGTAATTTTGCTTCCTAATGAGGCATATATTTGTGATCAGAATAGAGAAGACTATTTGGAGTTTTTTCTACTATTCTCTTTTCCTGTGTCATCACTTGCACCACTGTCATCTGTTCTTTGTGTCTGTACTTCATTTCTTTGGTGAATAACTTTGATTTGAGGAGGTAATTCTATTTTAATAGTAATCTATGATTTATGTTTCTATAGCAAATTTCATCCAAAAATCAGAATATTTTCCAGAGTACTAATTAATCAGTACAAGACCTTTTTGAAGAAAATTGCAATCTTATGTGGGTGGACAGAAATACAGGAGGGTCTAAAATAACATTGACATTAATTTCAGAGAATCTCCCCAGGTACTCATGGTAGCTGGTAGTGCTGTTCAGTGGTTCATCATGTGGCAGCTCCATGCAGCTGATTTCAGTTACCCTTTCAGGGAAGTACTTGGGTTTCCTTAAAATCAGATCCTAATTGTTTCAAATGAATGGCCTACTTTTGAAAATTTCAAGTTGTCTATTTAGAGCCCCTCACAGTGTCATTAATATTGCTGAAAGAGTTGTAACTTCCAAATCTTTGCTATTTGCATGAGATGTTCTCTCATTCTTCTGTGTGTCATTCACTATGAAAAGACCATAGCTCATATAACTGAACATCAAAATGTTACTATTTTCTGTCTGTTGTAATGCCATTTTTTAATGATTAAAACAAACACGAGTTTTTATTATCATCAAATGAAATGGTTTTAGATCGCAGAGCACAATAGTTAGTACAGTTGAATGAAAAGGAAATATGTCTGCAATTTATGAAGCAAGGTGTGTAAGATCTAGAAAATAAGGTTTAGTTCTGTCTTTAATATATTTCTAATGAGGAACCTCTTGCTATGAAAAATTGTTTACAGAGTGAAAACTGAGGACATCAGGTCTGAAAGTACCTTCAGGATTTTGGTGAAAAACTTCAAAGCTAAAGTTTCCTCTTACCTCTTTCTCATGTTCTTATAGCAGGTTCAGGCTACGCCTCAGCCCATAAAAGTGCCGCAGTTCATCCCTCCTCCCAGACTTACTCCTCGTCCAAATTTTCTTCCACAGGTGAGTATACAGAGAACAAACAATAGAAGGAGGAACTTAATTATAGCATAGATAGAAGAGACTTTTGATGAACATTGCGTGGTGTTTACTGCTGATGTGCTGGAGAAAACTATTCATCCTCAACAGGTTTGCAGATAATAATGAATTTGAGGGTGCAGTCAATATTCTTCAAGGCAGTGCTGACATGCAGACAGTCCTAGACAGGATAAAGGAAGAGGCCAGCAGGAATTTCTTGAGCCTCAGCATGAGAAAAGGCGGTCTTGTACCTGGAATGGACTAACTCTCTGCACAGATACAGGCTGGGGACTGACTGGCTGAGGAGCTGCACAGATTAAAAGGTCTTGGTTGACAGCAGCTCAATGAGTGATGTGCCCCAACAGCAAAGAAACCTACTAGCATATTGACCTGTACCAGCAGGATTATAGCCAGGAGATTCAGGGAAGAGATTATCCACCTTTCCTCAGCAATCATGAAACTGAGTCCAATAAACACCCTGCAGTTTTGGAATCCCTGGTTGATAAATTTGAAGCATGGAGCATGGGAAAGAAGGCCACTAAGATAGCTTGGAGCAGCAGGAATATATAATTTGTAAGGAGAGACCAAGGAATCTGGGCTTTTCAAATTTGGAGAAGAGGCTTTGGAGGCACCCTAACAGCAGTGTTGCTTCCAGTATCAGCAAGGAAATAAACAAGAAGCTGGAGGCATAGAAGCATAGGTGCTTGGCAGGAAAATTAGAGGCAATGCTCATAAATGAGGACAGGGAAGTTTTAGACTGCATATAAGGAAACACTTCTCTCTTTGAGGACAGTTAGGAGTGGAAGAGGCTTGCCAGACATGTTGTGAAAACTCCATCCTTGAAGTTTTACAAGACTTACCTGGACAAAGCCTTAAGCCAGCCAGTCTGCATTTAGTGATGGTCCTGCTCTGAGCAGGAGGTCAAATTAGAGACCTCCTCAGCCACCCTCCCCTCCACCTGTATGAATTTGTAATTATGAAAGTTGCATATGATGATTATTAATGATCTTGTATGCCATAAGTGAAATGAACCCATGGAATAGGTGTCATCAAAATTAAAGCATCACCCAAGGCCTTAAATTGCTGTAATTGTTGCTTGATGCTCATGAGTGAAAAAAGAAAACATTATATGTCTCTAGATTATTCCCAAGTATTTCTGTATTGCAAGGGAGAGTGGCTTCTGTTTTCAGCTGAGTAGTAAAACTTGTGGTTTGCTTTTTTTTCCCCATGGTTTGGGGAGGACACAGATTGTTTCTTTATGTAAAAAAATATCTTGGATGAACTACTTCATTTGTATGAAGTATGTGATGCTGTGAATAAAAGTAAATATTTTGCAAAGTGAGAAAGGAAAGTAAAGGCTGCTATCTGATTAAGATTTGAGTATGGTGAGATCTGTTGGAATGTGACCTAGTTTTTCATGGTAAAATGCTTTATGGAGTATTGCAGGTGGATAGGAATCAAATAAGGAAAAAAAGAGTTTTATTTTTAAAGTAATGTGCTCTACTTCTGTACTCTGGAATGATATTTTAAGTCCATTGTTAAATTACAAACTTAACAGAGACAGGAAATAAGCAAGTATTGGTGATGGAGTTTTGGAAGATTCTTGTGGCTCTTTTCTTTCTTGTGAAAGAAGAGAAATGGTTGCATTTACCTGTACATTCAGCACTTTCAGTAAGGGATTAATATATAATCTTGTCACTTTTTTTGCTTATCAAGATTGGTTGTGCAGGTATCTAAATAATATATAGAATTGACAGATAACAGGTGTTTGCTGGAAAAAAAAAAAAATTTGTTTCAGGGCACAGTCAACTGTTCATAATTTCTTGGAGGTTCATTACAAAGCCCTGTAACACTTTTAATACGAGTGCCTCAGCTGTGCCTGTAAATATCACATGGATTTTTTTGGCCTGTAAAACCAAGATGTTAATTTAGATACAGATAAGGCATTTGGCAATAAACATTCTGTATAAGTATCTGTGCATCCAAATACCATTTCAGGGAGGGTGACTATATATGCAAATGTTATGGATGGGTTTTATGTAAGTAGGCTTGAAAATGTGGTGCTTTTTTCTCTTAACATACTTAGGACAGTATGCTAAAAATGACGTTATCTAAAAAAATCAAGCAGCCTCCTGCAGATTATACAGGATGAATTGAAAGACTTAGTGAAAAGCTGATCTGAAATACTGATATACAAATCTCTGGGTTTTATTTTTTCTTTTTCTTATTTTGTTTCTGTAGGTTCGACCTAAACCAGTTGCCCAAAATAACATTCCTATTGCCCCTGCACCTCCCCCAATGCTTGCAGCTCCTCAGCTTATTCAGAGGCCTGTGATGTTGACAACAAAGTTCACACCCACCTCTTTACCCAACTCTCAGAACTCCATCCATCCAGTTCGTGTAGTTAATGGGCAGACAGCAACCATAGCCAAAACCTTCCCTATGGCACAGCTCACCAGCATCGTGATAGCAGCACCGGGGACCAGGCTCGCTGGGCCTCAGACTGTACAGATCAGCAAACCAAACATTGAAAAACAGGTACAGATAAAGTGCCTACTAATGCAAGGTACGGGGTTTATTGCTTTACTGTGCAGCTGTGGCAAGGACAACAGCCAGGGAGACGTTTTCAGTGGATACTGGAGATAGTCATGTTCCAATGGCAGTACAAATTATGGAATGACTTGCAGCTCTTGGGATAGATGTTACCATTTCCTTTAATATGGGCCATTGGCACCTTTTTCTCCTGCTTCAGTGTTTTTATGCTCCCTCTACTGTTTAAACATCAGTAGTTCATAAGCAGGCTACATTGCAGGGTTTGACTAGTATCTTGAAGAACAATTACAAGCTGAAGTCCATCTTCATATCAAGCCCTTTTGTTTTTCAAAAGGTGGTTATGTGAAAGGCAAAAATTGCACAAAATTGTAGGGATATTTAATCAGATAAATGTAGCCATTTCTTCCATGATCCCTTGATCTTGCAATCTTATGATTGGAGGCAAAATAGTCTCACTCAGCTTCTGAAGTCTGATGGTTCCCTGTGTCTAAATCAAATTGAATGAGTGGAAAGGAGACCTTCAGAAGCAGAGAATTCTGTATGTTTAAAGTCTCTCTCCAGAAAAGACTTCTGTAAAATAAAAATTACTTAAGTCAGTGTGGATTGCAACTGAGCGTCCTTGCCAGTCTGCTCAAGTAAAGCAATATTCTGATTCACTTTTAACTCTTTTGTATATTGTATGTTAGTAATAGTGTAACATTGTATACTATATTGCATACTATAACATAATATTTATGTAATTTATATAGATAATAGTAATATATATATAATTTATAACTCTTTCCTAGACTAATGTGCCTTGAAATTACCTTCTTTCTGCTTTTGAAATACTTACGGAGACTGGGAAATCATGTGCATGAAAGTTGTGCTTATGCTCAGTTCTGCTTGTGAAATCTCAAGAGTAGGTTCTTGCATACCTCAGGGCTGTTGCACAGGTTACTCAGCAATGTGTGTCCTTTCCATGTGAAGTTGTACTTCTACAATATTTGACTTTTGATGCCTGTTCCTTTTGATGTCAGCAATATTCATTTGCTTTTTGAATAATTACTGGCAACTACAGAAAAACATTGAAGAATGGTGGTTGGTTCAATCACACATGAAATTTTCTGTATAATTTCTCCATATCATAAAGGGAAAAGTTTGTCTGTCTGTAGCTCACCTTACTCAGTTTATAGCTTCAACATCCATGCTGTAGGCTGAGGGATGTCATGCAGAAGATTTATGACTTTAGAAAAGAAAAAGGCTTCAGAAACATCTGACATTGAAGAGTTCAGAGAGACAGTTTTTGGGCCATTCATAATTCTATAAAATGCAAAGACTGAGGAGTGGGAAGTACAAAATGTATGTACAATGCAGAGGGGTTTTTAAGTGGAAGTCTTGATGGGATGAGTTTTCTTGAAGTGTCTGGTATTCCCATACATTACAGTGATTTCTGTAACAAAGTTAACTCTTAAAATTGCTATTTTATCTTGTGTGGCTGTGTGGGGTAATGGATTGGTGACAAGGCTGTTTCATTCTTTGTTAAATGAAAATACCTTACTTAACATTCCTCTTGCATCAGATTCCTCAATTAAGTCTTTGTTAGCACACTGTCAGCTTTAAACATTTTCTCTCCTGTATTTGCAAAAGTATTTGTTTTGCTTTTATAGTCAAAGTAAAAAAAGTCATTCTTATCACTGAATGTGAGAAACACTGTTTTCTTGCAGACTATTAAACCACATGTGGAAACAGAAGAGAAGCAAACAGAAAGTCGTACAGTTACTCCACCTGCTGCACCGAAGCCAAAACGAGAAGAAAATCCACAGGTATCAGAACATACCCCGAGCTTTCTTTTAAGAAAAAAAAAAGGACACTGTCCTTCAGAAAATATTTTTTCCCTCTGTTCCCTCAAGACTTCTTAACTTTAACATTCCTTACGTTCCTGTTGGACAGCAGTAGTTGATAAGGCTACAGAATAAAAAATCTAAATAGATGTAGTGCATTGCATTTTCAGTTCTGGAGTGCATTTGGCTTCTAAGTCTTTTGTAAGTTAGAAGATCGTCATTTTTCCATGATACTTCCTTCAAACAGGGGTTTAGATTACAGAGTTGATTTCCACTCCTTTGAGGTTTTAGACTCTGGAGTTATTCTCAAAGCTGAAGAAATGTCTGTTTTCCTTTATAAAATATTTCTACTCTGGTGAGCAGGAAGGAAAGAGTCACATATATCCACATTCTGCTTGTGTTTTAGTCCAGTTCAGTCTGGGTTGAAAGAGCTTTGGAACTGATTACAGCTAAATGCTGTGCTACATTTATTTCCATAGATGGATTCAAATTGCCTGTTGTGTGAGCTCTAACTGTTGTCAGTTAGACAACAAAATTCTGATTTTTACATGTCTCTGCATTTCCTGCATTAAAATTAGAATCCTCTAAGAAACCCATAGCCTTTAGCAAATAGCAAATCTAAGCTAGAGTTGGCTCCTTATAGTTCACAATAGATGGAGAATGATCTTAAACTAGCAATATTTTTTTTGACAATTGAACTGTGTTGGTATCTTCTAATAGTCAGTTCAGTGCTGGAATGGAAGTAAAGAAACTGCTCTCTTGTTCCCAGCTCTGCCATCTCTGATCGTGAGCAATGGGTATTTCCCAGTATCTCAGGCTAGGTTCCCATCTAGGAAACGAGACTCTTGTCTGTCCTTTTCCAAGAAGTTTGACATGCATGAATGAAAAGTGATTTATAGAAGCAAAGTATCGCTAAAAATTATTTTGGTGCTTAGTTACTAGTCAGCTACCTTTAAAGGGCATAAATGACTCATCCTAACAGTTGCACTTTTCATGATCTTTTTTCTTCCCTCTCACAGAAACTTGCCTTCATGGTGTCTCTGGGACTAGTTACTCATGACCACCTGGAAGGTAGGAAAAACGTCTTAGGTTGGTTGTTCAGCTCCTGATTTCATGTCATTCTAAATTGGAAGTAGGATTCCAAAATATTTCTTGTATTAAATGCAGTATTTTCTTGTACAATAGTACCATTGGGATGTCTGTACTCTTGATCTAACTTAGTTTGTTGTGCATGATTTTGCTCTTCTTATGACACTGAAACAAAGCATAAAGTTATTTATGCAGTGGAGCAGAGGTTGGGAAGAAAGTGTATGATCTCATGGTAGAAATCTGTGGCAATACCAATGCTCTCTGGACAACCCTCTATCTGCAAAGATACACCGTGGATAATTTTACTGTAACCTATGCCTAGATTTTTAATTTATTTTATTATTTCATGGAACTGTAATTTGTAATGAACGAGTTAACGGATTATAATTTGATTTATAATTTAAACTTCTAATCCTATACATTGAAAGACAGCCTATAATTTCAATCACCTGCATATTTCTCTACTGTATTTTTAAGTATCAGTAAGGTTACCAGAGATTTTTAAGATCCCAGCTATACTGACCATGAGTTTTAAGTGTCTTAGTCATGGATTACTTGGTGAGAAGAAGGATTTAATCAGTTACTTGAGCACTGTATTTGTATTCCTTGTCAGCTGTTAGTTTTCAAACCTTCAGAAGTTAAAAGTATAACACAGTTGCCTATACTGGGCATGACTGGTGTTCTGTAGAAATCTTTGCAGTTCTTCTCACATGCAAACTGAATTCTGTGGACTTTATATAATTTCTGAGATCCATTGTTTTCTAACCTGAATGCTTTGTTTTACAAGAAATCCAAAGTAAGCGACAAGAGAGGAAAAGAAGAACAACAGCAAATCCAGTGTACAGTGGAGCCGTTTTTGAGCCTGAGGTATTAATTTTTTGCTGGGGGAAGCTGGTATTTTCATTCTGATCTTGAGTGTCTTTCTAACATCTTGCTACCTTGTAAGCTTTCTCAGTTCTAACTAGAAAGGCAAGCTATCATTTATAGTTCAAAAGGCCATTGCAATGACATGACACTCAGATTTTTAAATAGAAAATACAATGGGGTATTTCTAGTACTTGTATCTTTTTCTGCCTTCTCCTATATAAACCTGTCATCAAATGGCAATGTGTGTTGGTCTGCTTGCATATCAGCCTGAAGCAGTTCAGATATCAGAAGCAGTGTAAAAAAGCTAACATTTCTGAAGGTGTGCTTCAGAAAACACAAAAGCCAGTAATCTCACTTAGTACTTACTGTGCTGTTCCTCAGCTACTGCATATAGTTATTGTCAGGAATGTTCCCCAACAGAAATTGTTCCATTGTTCCCTGCAGCGCAAGAAGAGTACAGTGACGTACCTGAACAGCACAATGCATCCCGGGACACGTAAAAGAGGTGAGGTATACCCAGACCTGTCTCCCTGCCCAGTGCCTCTTCCTCCATGTTGCTTTTGTAGTCCCCATGTCAATTTGAAGAGCAAAACAAGATGGACTCTACAGTACTTCATTTGTCCAGTAAATTTCCATGGTGGGCAAAGACCATGACCTCTAGGGATTAGCATGGCAAGATCTATTAGGCAGCTCAATGTATCATTTCAGTTTCACTCTCAGAAAATCCCAAACAAAACCCACCCTATTCACTAGAAATGTGAGATGTTTGAACATCATTTAGTTATGAAGCTGCTGTAAAGATCCCCTTGTTAATGACTAGATTGTGTTGTTACTGTCAAGAAGAAAGTGGTTGTGGGAAAAGCATCTGTGCCCTGAATAGGAGGGGAAACTTAGTGTGACAAAAGCCTTGTTTCCTACTGGGAATAGGGATGAATCCTTCAAAAGAACTTGCCCTGGGTGAGAAAAGCTATCGTGCTCACACTAAGCACTTTAACTGCAACCAGAGTGCCACTTGTCCTAAAATGAGAGATGATCTTTCATATAGGCATGCAGTACTATTCAGAAGAAATCCTTCTGTAGAACAGATAAAATTTTAAGACTTAGTTTATGGTGAAACAAGTGAAGCAGAACAGTATGGGAGAGAATGTGATGCCATTATTTGTGCATGGCATCAACCACACCTACCTGACAATGTTTACCTGATTTTTGATGATTTTCTACAGTCCTTAAAGACTCATAATACCTTCTCTATCCTAAGTTTTCTGTGTAAAAAAAGTAATAAATCAGATTTTAAAAAAATTAAACCAGTCTCTCACCTAGCACTGACCAGTTCCATTATCTTTTGGGGGTTTTGTCTGCAAGATGAAATATTAATTTGACATATTCTGTTCTTGATCCATGTTTTCAGTCCAGCAGACAACGTGGCAAAGCTGACACTTCTGCAGCTATGCTGTTTTTAAATAAAAGATGTGTCTCTGGTGCTATCCCCTAAAAACATTAAATGTATTTTTTAAATAATATGATGTAGATTTTAAATAGAAGGTTTTTGCATTTATTCTGTGGATAAGTAAATGTTCCTTCTTCTAGTAATGATTTCTTAATTTTATTTTAGACCCTATAGTGAACAATTACTGTATCAATGAAAATGATTGCATGCATTTGTACTTGATACTCTCTTACCCTGTTTTTGCAACTGGCTATTATATTTTCTATTTTTTTCATCACACCCTATTGTGAGTGAGCCTTTATGTTGCATCGGTACCAAATTAGTAGCACGTGTTTTCAATTGACAAAAGATTTGGAAGTATACATTTGTTTTGTAATTTAATACAGCAATATATTGAGTGAAAAGCTTTTGTAAGCATTTGCCCTTGAGAGCTTTAGTTTAATTATAGATGGTGCTGAGCATGTCAGAAATTTCACCCGTGGACATCACTAGCAGAAATCCATTTCCAAGGACATACTTAGAGCTGGAACATATCCAGACCTTAAATGCAAGGTTTAGCATGTTAATAGGTATAGACTGCCAATCTGTAAACATAAGATCTGGGGAATTATTCCTAGATCCTAACTCCTTTATGTTTACATATCTATAAATTACCTGGGAGAAGGAAGGCAGAAATGATGGTTGCATACTGGGTTTTTTGCTGTCTTGCTTTGCATTTGTAATTTTATAAGAATTGTATGAAGACATTTTGCACATCTGCTAGTCTAAAGGAGTATCTAGGCATTGTGCATAATCAAACATACTTGGCTGAGAAAGTCTAAGAAAGAACACAGAATATGGAGTGGGTTACAGTAAAAGACCAATGATAGGTTAAAACTGATATTAGTTATGGGTCAGAAAACAAAACCTGTTCTTAGGTAGCCTAATTTTAAAAATGTACCAGTAGGGTAGAAAGTGCTGGTCTGTGAACTGAGAGGTTTAAAAAATGAGAAAGAAAAGTGGGGGGGTGGTGAGTGTTGGCCTCTGATAAAGGATTTAACCTCTGTGTAGATTTATGCTGACACTTAGAAAGATAGGGAGGTGTGGGATAACAGCAGAAAGGATTTATTAGTAGTTATTGTAGCTTCTGTGGAGCTTCGATGCCGACATTTTTCCCCTAAAAACTGAATAGCCTCATTTTTAGGCGTAGCAACTGTCCCCATGCTGCTTTTGTGGGAATAATTCTTTGACCCTCTACAGAGCTTATTTCTGTTTCCTTCTGAAATACATCTTTTAAATGTTCTTTCCTTGCAAAATTCTACTTAAAGATTTCTAAAAAATGTTTAAATCTTTGCTTCTGTCCTTTCACTTATGACTTTTATATTAACTTCCTCTCTGTGCTACATCATTTCCTTTTTCACGCTAGCCAATGAGGACCACTGGCCAAAGGTATGTAAGATCATTTTTCCTTTCTTTTTTTTTTGTTTCGTTTGTGTTCCCTGTTGTTAATATGTAGGTCGTCCACCTAAATACAACACGGTGTTGGGGTTCGGGGCTTTGACCCCCACGTCCCCTCTCTCCAGTTATCCCGACTCCCCTGAAAATGAAAAGACAGAGAGCACATTTACTTTTCCCGCAGCTGTTCAGCCTGTGTCCCTGCCTAGCCCCAGCTCCACAGACGTAAGTAACTCTTGGGGAGGGGGTTACTTTTAGAAAGTTACTCAAAACAGGCACAAGGAAAATCACTGCAGGTTTTGTTCCTTTAATCTCACTCATCGTTTGTCCTGACTTAGTGCAATGAAACAGTCCAGCATTTTTAACACCCTTTTTTTTCCTCCTGCACCTGTGTTGTTATCCTGATGAGATTTTATTTATAACTCCTTCAGTGGATTGAAACATTGGGAGGCACCAGGCATGCTAGATGAGCTCATTTCCTTTGTGTAGTTTCTGAGATCTTGTCTGACTGAATTGAATCTGTCATCCATGGAAAAGGGCCAGGGGGTGTGTGGGGTGGGTGGGGAAGAGGAGAATGAATAGTATTAGTTACTGGCCATAATAACAAAAAGTTGTGTTTTTATAATGAGAGAAGGATGGAAACTGCTTCATCATGCAGAACAGCCAGGAGCAGTATTTGTGGCACTGATTTGGCAGAAAGTGTGTAGGACTTTTCAGTGGGGGTAAAACAGTCCTCAGGAGCTGGAATGTACTTTCATTTAAGAGCTTGCTTTTAGAATACTGGTATTTACAGGCATAGTTTAAGAATCAAAAGGTGCTTGGTTATTTCTTCACACTGGTGCTACACTCTCCTTCTGCAGTTCTTCTTTTAGAAAAGACAGTCACATATTCTTGAGGCCCAACCATCTGAAATGGCCTTTAAGGAAAAGCTGGGTTGTTCTATTTTCATCTGTCTAGTTGCACCATTGTAAGAACATGGACTGAGAGACCAACTCTACTGATCATGTAGAACAGGGAATAGAGGCCAGTTCCTTGCCTCTGAACTGTACTTGTTCTGCAGAGGTAACAGGAATTGGAGTAGTGCAAGTGTGTCTGAAGCACTGAAATAAATAGATGTAATTCAGATAGCCAGGGAATACACATGTGGACTTATAAGGTTCTCTTTTATATAGTCATTTTTTAGAGCAGGATAGCACATGACTGCAAAACCCCTTTCCTGACAGCCAAATAAATGGGACTGTGGAATAGCCCCTCATGGATACGTTGGGACAGCTCCATCTCTGGGGACTTTTAAAAATACGAAATACAGATTACTTGCAAATGTGCTGAAGAGCACATAGTTTACACTGGCCCCAAGAGAAGGACTGGATAATGTGGTGGGGGTCTTTTCCATCTCTCATGTGTGTGTATACTGCTCAGTGTTTTCCTACTGTGTAAGAGCTCTCAAAAGAGTATGATGAGTTGTTGCCCTATTTCTGCAGTGCCTATGAAAATTGCAAATTGGGCCAAGCACTTGGCATGAGGCACAGTGGACAAGAACAGCCTTCTTGAATTTTTCCTAAAATGTTATTCTCTGAATGACAGGGAGAAATTTTGAAGGGAGGATGAAGCAGAAACTTATGATAGGATTGGTGATAAGGATGAAGGGGTAGAAAGTAGGTCTAGAACCTGGGAAAAGGAAGGAAATAATGCACTAGGCAGGATTGAGCAAAACCTCTTTTTTTTTTCCTCTCCCTTTTTTTTCTCTTTTCCAATTCGGCAATTGTCTTGCCAAATGGTTATGTGAGCCACTTATGAGGCACTTGGTTATGTGTGGTTCTCCCTCATGCAGTAGTGGCACATTCACCCCGAAAATAGCAATTGCCTTCGAAGGTCAATTACTCAGCAATAAGAACTGTGCAAAAATCTCTGTTTTAGTGATGATTCAAGTATTTGGTCACAAAATGCCTTCTTATTAGTGAACATTTATATCAAAACAGTGTTTCAATTGAGAGGAGCATTGTAGAACTTTCAGATTGCAAAGTCAAGCCCATAAAAGTTAGAATATGCCAGAATTAGTATTGCTTCTGATCATTTAATTCACTTACATCATACACTATGATCATCTTTATTTATATAATCATGAACAAATGTTGCAGAATATTTAGTTTTCCCATTTTATTCCAGTTAAATGTACATATAAGTATAGATATTACAAACTCAAGCACACAAGCTGCTTTTGTTACTGAATTATTCGGTTCAGTTGCCTAAAGCCAGGCCCCGCTGCTCTAGACACTTTATCAAAATAAATGAAACTGTTAGCTGTCCAGAAAGCTTAAATTTATTCTCCCTTGTGGGACCCTTCCCTGGTCCCTTGTGAAGAGGAAGTAGAGCAGAAAGTGACGTTAAATCACCTTTTATGGTATCTGTTCTGAAATTATTCTTTGGTCACTCCAGGCTGTAGCATGTCTGAGCAGCCTCAGTGAGCTCTGCCCTAGCCTAAGCTGGCTGGCTGTAGCCTACACAAAGCTGCTTCAGAAGCTGAGGTTAGTGGGTGCATGTCACAACACCAATACCAGCCTCCCCTTTATGCATATATTTATGAACTGTCCATAAGACCTGGGGCAATTTTTTGGAATCAAACACTGACTGCGATTTTGGTAAGGACAGTTGTTAACTCTGAGGAATTGCCCTGAATTTTGCATTACCAAAAATAGGACTGTGATTTCTGTGCATGTGTGTTGGCATCTCTGTGCATTCAGCTGCACTGTGCACTAGTCACCTGTATCACTACAGGTTTTTCAGCACTCAGTTGAATTTGGGACATTCTGGGTCTAAATTTCTAAATGTCTCCCCTTAAGAAGAAACTGCATATGTGTCTCTTTTGTAGGGCTCTTTCTGCAGGATATGAGACATAACAGGTTTGGTTTTCAGCACACCAATATTTTGCACTTTGTTACCAAAAGCCATTGTGTAGTCTGTGGCAACTAATGCATCTTAAGATACGTAATTCTCTAGAATTTTTTTTCTAAAATGAGAGATTCCCCTCTTAAACTTCTCCTTATCTTGAAGAGGATTTTATTTTAGCTTATATGATATCTCTTGCCTGCTGCCTTTTCCTTGTACTCAGAGAATGCAGGATAGAGGGAAAGAAGTTCTTCCCAGCCTGGTTACAACACATAACTTCACAAGAAGCATGAAATGCCACTCATTTAGATCTTCATTTAACACTGAGGAACTCTTTGGTGTTAAAGGTGTAGTAATACCCTAACTCAGCTCTCAACTATCCCAGGGAGTTAGGGATCCAAAACATGGCACTGAAAATTCACTGAAGATTGATCCTTTACAAAACATGAAATCAGTGTTAACTTTGGGAATTTAGAAGAGCTTTCCCTTTGAAGAAGGGCCACATCAGCAATAGAACTGGGAAGTAGAAACCTGAGCAGATTGCTCATGTGTCATTCTTCTTACATGTGTATTTTGTCATCCATAGTGGAGATTACTGTAATTTTTCTTGTCGGGCACCTTAATATGTGAGTGCACGGCCAAATCTGCTATCCCTCCAAACTGATCGAAATTGTTTGCACGTGTGAAGAGATGATCTGCGCCAAAATGAAACCTTGCATAGGCTGGTATTTCATACAGGACAGTGTGTACCCACAGTTCTGCTCCACACACACATCTTATGATTGCAGTCTTGCAGATCTGCGTGTGTGTGCAACTTTGTTGTGAGTCAGTGACAGGGTGCACTTCAGACACCAGGTGGGGCCTTGGACATGTGGAGTTGCCAGGAGAGCCTGGTGGTCAGAGGAGAGGGTGGGGTGCCCCTTGCTTCCTCTAGGATCGCTGAGCCAGCTTTCTATCATGCCTCTTCATTCAAATATCTGAAAATCAAATCAAAACAGGAGGGGGGGGAGAGAGAGAGAGAGAAGAAGAAACAAAAATCAGACTTGCCTTTTTGGGATGTTAATGGCTGTAGAAAAGAACTCTCTCTGATGGAAATGCAATAGTAACTAAACCTAGCTGTTTTAAAAGACACGGCTAGTCATTTTTTCAATTCTTTCTTTTAAAAAATGTTAGAAAAATCTCTCTTGGTACTTTTTCATCCTAGCTCTCAGTCTATGTTAGTGATGAAACAATCCACTCTCTGTAGACAATGAGAAAGTTTTGAGTCACAGCTTTTTTTGGTGCAACTTGAGGAAGCCTAAGTGAAGTAAAAAGAATTGTCTCAGAACATAATTCATTCTATTCTTTTTCATTTAGAAGCACAACACCTTTTCCTTACAGTTTCATTTTAAAAGGTGACCTAAATATTTAACAGTGTTCTTTTAAGTCACTCAGTTGGGGTTTCTTACATACTATTACTGCCAAGAGACAGCCTAATCAGCATTCTGGGAGTGGAGTTGGGCTTACATCCAAAAATCAGGAGGGTTAAGAAAGTGGGTAGCTCATCACTTCAGGCAAATAAAAAGATTAGGGTAAAGAGGGAATCTTAAAGAAGAAAGGCTATGGGGTAGCAGTAGTTAAGAGAAGCTATAGTAATAAGTGTTTGCTGTACCATTTTGCCTTGGGAGGACAGAGGAGTGTTTGGGAGGAAAGATGTCAGTGTTTCTGACATCTGGCATGATTTTCCTGTTTCACAGTCTAAAAAGGGCTTGACCTTTTGGAATCACCTTAAAAATAGTTGGTGCTGTAAACCTTGAATTCAACTAAGATATAGATATCAAATGTCAAAGTTCACTTTTTGCCTTCTCTCTTGCATTCTCTCACCCAAACCCTTTCCCCTTAATTTTGTAGGGTGATATCCATGAGGATTTTTGCAGTGTTTGCAGAAAAAGCGGGCAGTTGCTGATGTGTGACACATGTTCACGTGTTTATCACCTGGATTGCCTGGACCCGCCTCTGAAAACCATTCCTAAGGGCATGTGGATCTGTCCCAAATGTCAAGACCAGGTATTGTTTGACAGACAGGGAGTTATGTGCAATGCATGTGAAGATTTTTTGGTGTTAAAGAAAATAACCAGATTGCTTGGGTTACTTAGACCAAGACAGCCTGACACTGAACAAATCTATTTTGTGTGCAATAAGGCTTGTGTGAATTTCATTGAATTACCTCTGTTGGAATGTGTGCTAATACAAAACTGTCAAGTCTTGCTTCTTAATTCATGGTCTCTATTTGTTACCCTTATCTTTTTACTCTTTTTCTGGATCAAAGTATGCGGACTTTTTGAAAGATTATCTACCACCCATAGAAATTCTGCTGTTCATTTTAAGCTCATTGTTACTTCAAAAGTTATTAGTATATTCTTCTGGACAAACAAATAAAGCATTTGCACAAGCCCACCTCAATAGATAGAGCAAATATAAGCCCCTGCTTGCTTATATAAATCAAAATTAGAAGGTCTGATCACTGTCTTCAGTGATCTCTTCAATAATATCATCCAGCATCAGTATATTGAGTACAGGTGAACAGTTTCCTTCTAGATCATTCTCTGAAAATATACAGTTGAAGTGAGCAGGTTATATTTTAATATTTTGTTTATAATTGCATTGAGATTGCATACAAGATGAAGAAGTAAACTGTTGTATTCCTAACCCTTCCTTGGAGCTCTAGGAGATGCAAAGGGTTGTTGATAATAGGCAGTCTGGAGCTGTGTCCTGTCTAACACAGCTCATTGCTTGGTCAGCCACGTGGCCTTTGGTGTACCAGTGGTAGCATGAGAAAACAGCCTGACCTATGATGTGCTGCTCAAAAGAATGAAAATGCAAAACTCAAGTGACTTGGTCAGTAGTTGCCAGAGAGGAGGGAGTATTTGACTTGGATACTCCTGCTCTTGCCTACTCCCACCTTATCCCTCCTCTTCATGTTTCTGTGATAGCTTCCAACAAAATTAAGGAGGAAATCTGAGGAACTTCACTGTAAACTGACCAAGTCCTCTGTATTCTGAGACACCACTCTGATCCTGTACTAAAAATATGTGTCTTTCCTCTTAAAGTTTGTTAGGAAGCAAAATGTAGGAAGGATCTGAAAGACATAAATGGTGCTTACCCTTATAAAGAGAGTTTGACAAGTCTATTAAGATGATTCTGATAAGAAGGAGTGATGGGACAGTTTCGTGTTTTATTAGCCAGAAGTGTGATGTTTGAATCTAGGGTGCGGAGATTCAGCTGCAGCATGAAAACTTCTTTCCCACAACAACTAAGATCAGCAATTTGACTGAACCATGAAGTAATTTTTATGTCTCCTGGCAAGTTTTGTGTTCAGATATACTATCCTTTCATTCCTCTTTTAAGTTGTTCAGTATCATTAGCAGACTTTATTTGTGGCTATGGAGGGAATTTAGGAAAATGCTGACATTTGTAAGAAATAGGCTTGCTTTGTGGGAGCCACAATACAGTTGTGAATAATTCCTTCTGTTAAATCTCAGATCAGGTCTGTGAAGCTTCTTGTTAACAGTGCTGAGGCTAATGGTAGCCATGAAAGAAAATCCTCAATCTTTCCCTCTTTCTCTCTCTCCTTTTTACTTTTTCTGAGGTAGGTTTTTTACCAGCTAAATCTCTATGAAAATTTTCTTTCAGATGCTAAAGAAGGAGGAAGCAATCCCATGGCCAGGAACTTTAGCAATTGTTCATTCATATATTGCATATAAAGCAGGTAAGAAAATGATGAACACTTTTCTTTCACTTTTAATAATGGAAGATGTTATTTTTGGAGTGGGATAGAATGGTACTTCCTTTACAAAAGGAAATTTTGTCATACAAAAGGAAATAACCTTAATCACTAGTGAAGTGAAAATAGCAGTCTAAATATTTCTTAAGTCTGTCATGCTCATGCATGTAGGTAAAATTTTGGGAGTGATTCAGTGCACAAGTTGTTAAGCATTGGTTTAAACACAATTCCCCCCTTTACATGAAGCAGTTTAGACCCTCTATCCACTATTGTAAGAGAAATATTTAAAATATTCTGTTTAATATTCTGTTTTGCAGCAAAAGAAGAGGAAAAACAGAAACTACTTAAATGGAGTTCAGATTTAAAACAGGAAAGAGAACAACTAGAGCAGAAGGTCAAACAGCTCAGCAATTCTATAACAGTGAGTATTGTCCTCCCAAATAACCCTTGACCTGTGTTCTGGTGCCACAATGCAGGGAGAAAACTATTACAGAGCAACTCCATCTACTAGACCTGTCATCCACTGGATTTATTTAGAATTGAGTGAGTGCTTTCCTTTGCTTTTTAGGACTTTGAGGAGCAGGAATGAAATAAAGGCAACATATGCTTACATTGAGTCTCTTATACATGATCCTTGCTGAACATGTAGGTAGATGTATGGTGACATTTCACATCAGCAGGTGACAAAAATGACCCAGAGTGGTTTTGTCTGTGGGCAGTAGATGGAGTCCAGCTCTAGTGGCTCACTTTAACAAGAATGGTTTGGTCTCTGTGTGTAGTGACAGTTTCAGGCTTGGTGCACTCTCCAGACCTTTCTGATGCAAAAGTGACCATTTCCTTGTGGCTGACTCTCAGGACCTTGCTGTGTTGCCTTGGCAGTCAGCAGCTGGACACTGCACATGTCTCTGCATGATATTAACTAGACAATGTCATACTTCAAACCAGAAATCTTGGCTTCTACCTTAGTTTATTGCAGTAATTGGAACATACATATTGATTTGGTCACTCTTCTCACCTTAATGTGCAGATTAGTCTCTTGAGATGCCAGTGTAAAGTTTGAGCCCCTTCTTGGTGCAGCCCTAGTCAGTATCACATAATGAAAATATAATCTCCTGTGTGGCAACATCTGTAAGGTTGGATTCATAATTACAGACTTTTTAGATACAGATGCACTTTCCAGGCTGCACTTTTCCTGTCTTTGCCTATTAGAGCAAAAGTGTCCCATTTTTACAGACCCCTCAGTGCTGTCAATACAAATAAAATGATTGTGAGGGGCTGGCTAACAGTTCTGTGGACTGTCACCTTCTGGTTAGCAGTAGCTGAGTGTAACCTGAGCAGTACTAGACAACTATCACCATTTCTGAGTGGTGTACCCAGGCAGATACAAGGCCTTAACATGAGGGATTGGCAGTGGGCAAGGAGAATGTTCATATTGGACCTGTCCAAAACAGGCATATTAGGTCTAGATGCTTTAGGGTTATTATGATGCCATGAGCTACATGTGAAAACATTAAAGCTAAATGTATCTGGAGATCAGTGTGGATAAAAGATTTTAAAAATGTAGGAAGATTGCCATCTTCATGTAAAAACCTGAATGTAACAGACATAGCTACTGTTTCCTCATTTTTGTGAGTTTCAAATATACATATAAGCAGTTTTTCACTCTTGAAACATCATCTGTGGGCTTTTTTTAAAGTTACCTTGCCCTGGCACTTAGCTGATGAGCTAGCTATGTTACTACCACTTCTAAGAGAATGAAGTGGCCACAAAATAAGATTTTCAAGTGAAGAGGAGTTTGGTTTCCTTTTCAAGTGCCCTTTTACTTATTGAGAGAGGAAGTGATGTTCCTGCTAAAATGTATGTGAAAGCAAAGGCTGTATCCCATTAATGGTTTGCACGCACACTGTCAGCAGTCAGCTGCAGTGGGATGCCTGAGCTTGCAGATCTGAGTTAAAGAAATTTCAGTAATGCAATACTAATAGAAAGAATTGTAAGAACATACACTTGGAAGTTTTCCTTCAAAAGAAACACAAAAGGACAGAGCTGTCTGTGTTCATTTGCACAACACCTTGGAATGAAAAGGAGCCATACCAGGTGACAGCTATTTTATTTCCTCAGCCTGCAAATATGAATTCTCCTCTGAACACAGCCTAGAGACTCTTTTCTTCTAGGCTGGAAAAGTGAAGTTGCAGCTGCAGTTTTTTCTGGGTACTTACATTTAGATCTGTGAACATCATATTCCTTCGCTTGCCTTCTTTCATTCATAAGCTCGAACTTATTACTGGTTTTCTGCTTTGCTGTAGAAATGCATGGAAATGAAGAATACCATCCTTGCAAAACAGAAGGAGATGCACAGCTCCTTGGAGAAGGTAAAACAGCTGATCCGCCTCATCCAAGGCATCGACCTTTCAAAACCCATAAACTCTGAGGTCAATTCAGTAGCCATCTCCAACGGCATGGACTCCACTAACAATACTAATGCTGCCACCTCCACCTTAGCCCCCTCCCCTTCCCAGAGCTGCATGGTGAACTGTAACAAGGGCGATGAGACTAAATAACACAGCCAAGTTAAGAAGGAGCCAAGGGAGGTGGCGGCGAGGAGAAAGAGCAAAATAAAGAAACTCTAGAAAAGCAAAACTGGATTTCTTCTGGAAAGTGCAGAATTCTTTAGTTCTTTGGTTCCAGAGAGAGCGTGAAGATGCTTGTGCCAGGCGGCACTGGAGTTTGCCAATCGATCCTTCTTATTCTGTGTGTACATGCGAAGTTTGGATCATGTTACATGAATAGTGCCAGCTGGGGGTTCTTTGCCAGCACCATGCCAAGTGAAATAATATATTTACTCTCTCTATATTTTACACCAGTGTGTGCCTGCAGCAGCCTCCACAGCCACTATAGGTTTGTTTTATTTTTGTTTGGGGTGAGGAGCAGGGATAAGGGAGGAGAGCAGGTTTCAAGTTCCTATTTGCAGAACAGTTTGTTTAGCTAGGGGAAAACAAAAACAAGTCCAAAGAGCCTATGGGCTTTTCCTGTTTCTAAACTCTCAGTACTATTAAACCAAAAAACCAGAAATATAAATTATCAAATCCCAGTGCCCAGAAGGGACAAGTCTATCAAATAAGCAGTATTTACTATTGTTTAGACAGGAGATGTACAAAAGGAAAAGAGATGGACTTTTCACTGAGTAACCAGCACACAGAATCATAGGATATGCTGAGTCAGGATCACCGAGTCCAACTCCTGGCCCTACAGGACACCCCAAGAATCACGCCATGTGCCTGAGAGCCTATGGGTCCTCACACTCATCCAGAAAGTCTGTTTTGGGAATGGGAAAAGAGAGGGCCAGGGTCAGCTTGGAGCATTGGATGGAGGTGTCCCAAGAGAAAATGTGCATCAATTACTTGAAAATGAGATTCCATCCCTTTTCTGTATTTATAAATGACGCAGGTATCCTGAACAAAGTAGCACATAACCCAGATGTGTGAACTCAACAGAGAAATGTCCTTTTCTTTCACTTCCTTTCTCTTCTTTTGGTAACAAGAACTAAATAAGGAATAGAAAAGCTGTTTTTCAGGCTGACAGTCTAATTAAAGAGGTAGATGGGACCTTGCATGGTATAGATTAGAAGTAATAGTGTCAGTGAGATACAGTGAGTCTTTGTGAGTCCTTGTGTCATCGTTTTGGGCACTGTTTTTTTATGCAAGGGCAAAATCTTTGTATCTGGGGGAAAAAAAACCAACTTTTTTAAATTAAAAAGGAAAATAAAAGATATTGAGGTCTTCCTAGTGTTACTTAAAATAAGATCAAGGTAAGAAACATTGTAAAAAAAAATTACAAAAGTGCTATTTGTTTCCTAAACAAGTGATTTCTATTAAAAAGGTGTCAGAACTGGAGAAAATGCTGTGTACTTAGAATTTTTTAACACAGACTTTGCTTATTTATGCTGACATTCTGCTGTGTTTGTGTTCTAAAATCTAATGGGACAGTTTCCATAGGTTCTACCATACATCTACTGGCTAAAGTCTAAAGAGAATCAAATCCTACAGTGCTGGATCTCATCCCACTGGAGGATCTCCCAGGCTTGTCTCTGCTGTTACCATCTCTCTCCCATTCTTCCATGTGTTTGTAACCCAGAGAAAAGCAATTGGCAGTGTGCTCGTGTAAGGCTTTCATAGTTCTGTCACACAGACTGACTGGAGCTTGAGAATGAGAGACAGTGAGTTGCACTGAAATCACCCTCTGTTATCTCCTCTTGTTCAAGAAGTTCATCTCTAATGTATAATCTTTTCACTCTGGACAGCAGAGCTTGCCTTGTGCTTCCTGATTGTGGGGTCTGGCTCAGTTTAGGGTGATGATTCTGTGTCCCAGAGCTGTCTGGTTTCACTGCTGCATTTACATGTTTGGGCAAAGGCCATTTCCACTGGAAGTATCAGGAAAACTACCTTTACTTCCTTACTTCCCATGGGAGCAGAGTGAGCCACTGCCCACACAACCAGGTGAGGCTGTGTCCCCAGTGTGGTGGCCTTGAGAGCATGTGTTGGGTGGTGAGGCAGACCTGCTCAGCTGTTCATAGTGGAAGATAGAAAAGCTTTGCATTTCAAGGATGCATTTCTGAGCAAGTGAATACTCCAGACACCACATAGCCTGAGAAAGTTTCTTTGCTGCCCCAGCCAAGTGGGCTTCTGTGGGGCTCTTGGAGCTGTTTTATTCCCTCTCCTTTAGGTTGCCCTTCCGCCCTTTAAGGTCTTCTATTCCTTCTGTAGAAGTGTGCACTATTTTCAGCTCTGGGCTCAGAACTGTTATCCTGAGTTCTCACATTTGTCTAAGTTGGGAAAGGACTCTTACACACACTTCTGAGCTGAACCAGTGATAACCCTAACTCTGTCTTTTGATGTGTGAGTTCTGTTCTGGAACTAGCAGAGCTGGGAGGATAAGTTAGCAGAAGTGGCAGGGAGACAGCTGGGCACTGTCAAAATGGATCATGCTAAAAATGTCCTTCCATCAATCCAGTTACCAATGGGGTCATTACCATTGGGCAGTACTAGGCCAGCAACCCACAGCATTTAAAAAAAGGACTGTCTGTTTCAAGGGTTGAAGAGGAAAAACAAACTGAACATGAGCCTTCTATAAAATATGAGCCACCAGCTAACAGCCAGGTATTCAAGAGAAGCTGCCTTCTGGGACATGTTGGTCTTCAGCTGAACATTTGGGTGATTCTTAACAGCATCTTCTGAAGCATTGAGCATTCCTGCTAAGAGACCGTCTCCAGGGATAGGTGTGCTGAGTCTTTGTGGTTCTCGTGCTCTTCCTTCTGTGTTAACCTGAGCTCTCTTGGAAGCAGTGCACTATTTGGAGGTAGGAGGCTGTGCCTGGAGACTCAATAGTCCTTCTGTTTTCTTTGCTGATTCAGGAGAGGATGGGAATGAAATTCACTAGTAGCCATATTTAAATTTGCACAAAGTTAATCAGCCAGGAGATGTTAAAACAGCTATTACTGCTTTCCTGAGGCATCTGCTTGTCTCCAGAACCCAAGTAGATAGGTACAAATTTTGTATCCCTTTTGTTACAGCGTTTGTGTTCCAGACTGTAAAAGGATGCCTTTAGTTAATCATTACTTGGCAGAAAAATTATCTTAGACTTTTTGATGCTGCTTAGGTAGTTTTCTTTCTCTCTCACTGATCCTGTTGAGATGCTTTTCTCCTGGCTCTGCAACAGTATTAGCCAATAGGCAAGGAGCATTCCTAGGGCTGCACTGACACTGGCAATGATGCTGCTGTGTAGACACAGTGAATTTGGGTTATCTCTACCCAATTACCAACAGTAGGGTGGAAGGGCAATTGGTGTTTGCTAAATACAGAGGAAAATGGTTTTTGTTCCTAGCTGCTGTAAGAGCTTCCAATCAAGGGAGAAATTTAAACTGTGACAGCTTAATGATCAAACTTTTCTTTTGGGTTCATATTGGTTTGGGGTTTTTTCTCATGTAATATTTGAGATAGAATGAGTTTGTACTGAAACTTCTGCTCTTTGGGAAGCTGTCACACTGGCTGTGGTTTTGTTTTTCCAAACGACCATCAAGATATTAACTAATTCTTATGTCATTGCTTGTCATTGGTGGGAAACAAGTGGCTTTTAAATCTCTGTTATAAGGGAAGAAATGAGACCACAAAGGAGTATCATATCAAAGATGGTCCTGGCTCTCAGCCCAGTGCTAAGGGCTTTAAGAAGTCACCCTGCTCCTTTGCTCAGAAATAGAGCAAGCTTTGCAGAAGTTTCTTTTCCCCTTCTCTGGCTGTTCTTTAAACTGCAGGAAAGGTGTGTTGTGGTCAGAGTGGAAAAGTGAGCCTGTGACCTGGCTAGAAGTATTGGTATCATCAGTGGTGTTTTCATTGTCTTTGTTCAGAGCCAGCAGTGGGTTTGCTGCTGTACAAAACATGGAGGATGCAATACTTCTAGGGATGATTGGAAGGTAGGGTGAGTAGCATGGCTGATTCTTCCAAGACATCATTATCCAGGAGTTACCATATTGGTAGGATGAACTAATGTTTTGCATGAGCAAAACAGGGCTTTGTTCTATGTTGCAAGCAGGTTTCTGTCAGTGGGGATATGAATTAAAAACCTGGAAAGTAAAGAAGTGATAATTTTATGGGTGGATCTATTGGTTTTATTGTTGGCAGAAAAAGTAATATTGCATTTTAGCTTTGCTAGACTTAAGAAAGCAAATCTGTACTCCAAATGTCTAGAAATGTGAAACCTAATTCTGACTGCCTTGGCTTCAAATAATCTTCCCTGTACTGTTGCAGAGAGAGCCCTGAAAAGCAGCATGGTCAGCATTCAGGAGAACCTGAGGTGAAACCTCCCTCTTAGCCCCATCAAGCTGTGGCAGCCCACAGTACAGGAAATAAACTCTGAAATTTCTTTCTCATGTGGATACAGCAGAAAACATTTGTGAATTTGCAGTGCACGTGTTTCTCTCTTTTCCTCAGCTGGGTTGCACCGTCTTTGATTCTGAAGCACAGATGATGAATACATGCTTTTAATGAAATGTGGTTTTAAAATAACATATTAAGATGTTAGACCAAAATTCACTCTTTCACTGAGGGCCTCTCTCAGTGAGCTGCTCAGACAACCACCAAAATTCCAGTATTACACTTCCTTGTGGACATGCCCCTTTGGGCAGGGCTCCTTGTGTCTTTTTAGAATTGTTTTGACTCTTCTTCACCTCCTGTTGTCCTCCCTTGGAATTCTAGAGATCCAATGCAAGTTAAACTTTGCTGGATTACTGCAAAGAGTTTTCTGATGAGTATGTAGGAGTCAGGAACCTGGAGAAAGAGGAAGATGTTTTGTTGTGCAGCTGATTCATTTGGCGCTTAGGCTTGCCTGGCCAACAAACTACCTCAGCAAAGTCCATTCCCAAGCACTATGGATTCTGTAGTTTCTGGCATTCAGAAGGCAAAAGGTCCAAAGAACCCTCCAGCAGCCAGCTAGGTACTGGTCTCTGAGGACGTGTGAGTAAACCTTGCAGTGACATGCTGCTGGATCCTTGTTTTCAGTGGTCAGACATGGACCAGAGGATGACCCAAAAATCAGATGGGATCAGGAAAAGGGAGAGCTGCAGATGTCTTGTCTCCAGGTTATTGCTCTCTTGCTCAGAGAGCAAGTTATTGCTCTCTTCTTTAAGCCTCAGTCCTGTTTCTAACTCCTACAGAATGGAATGTAATACTTGAAAAGTACTATGAGTCCCTCTATCCTTTACCCTTAGTTCCCATTCCCCTCCTGTTTCTCTCTTACCTGGGACAAGAACTTTCTGCATCACTGTGTCTTGTATAGGCTGAGCACATAGTTGATCAACTTGCCAATAAAGAAAATTATTTATACCATGCACTGGTAAGCTTGGTAATTAAAGACCCATGAAAAGACAAATGCCTCTCCCAGAGGTTAATTTAATTGTGGGCTTGTATCAGAAAACCAAGAGCTTACCTGTGTGGGAGTCTGTCTGTGTTCCTGTCAGTATTACTGAAATACCTGACTAGTGAACAGAACAGAGGCTTGCCAAGAGCATGGCTGCTGTGGAAATCACTGTGCTGTGCAAGTCCTTGGAGTGTATCTCATGTGAACAGCCAGGCCAGGGCTTCCCATTTCCCTTGGCCAGATGTGGATGCTGCAAGGGACAGATTAAAGGTGGGAAGCCTCTTTTGAGAAGTGGTACAGGGCTGGAGATGGAAAGGAAGAGAGAAAAAGCAGGAGCAGCAAAGGAAACAAAGATTACTTGGAGTAAAGCAGAACAGAGAGAAAAAATATGGAGGTCTCTCCATATTAGGTGAGAAAGTGAGGGTAGGAAAAATCCAGGAGTGAGACAGGTCTCCCTTCTGAGTAGATAGGTATTCCTGTAGTTACAGTGTTTGAAAGTTCAGTGGAAAGAGTAGAACAAAACTCTTTTATCCTACCTCAATTTCTGACATGGGATGGTCTGTATTCCAAAAGGAGCAGGTGTGGTGAGAGAAAAGAGCTACTTAGGTGCAGATTGGAAAGGAAATAGGCACATCCCTAGCTCTGCTTCTGCTGCTGAGTGATCCCATCCTGATGAGAACCTTATTTGACTTTTAAGCTACAACATGGGGATAAAGCAGATCAAGCAGACCTTGAGGCAGCTAGAGCTTACTCTAATCTGGACTGTATTAAATAAACGTTTTCTTGGCTATAAGCATTTCCAACTAGCTAAAGGTTCAGCTCTGCTGGTGTGGTTGCACCTTCCTAGTTCAAGTGTTACAATGAGCCTAGCTGAAACCAGCATCAGCTCCCAGAGGTCTTGGGTTCTGTGTGAATGAAAGAGATGATATGGAGTAGGATGTGTGATTCAGGTACTTCTCAGCCACCTCCTGAAGTAGCTGTGGAAGATCC